GGTCCTTACCTTTCATGACTTTGAATACTTCTTTCCAGCCCCTTCTTGCCTGCAAGGTTTCTTTTGAGGAATCAGTTGACAGTCTTGCGGGAAATCCTTTGTAGGTAACTGTCTCCTTTTGTCTTGCTGCTTTTAATATTCTCTCCTTATCTTTAATCTTGGCTAATGTAACTATGATGTGCCTTGGTGTGTTCCTCCTTGGGTCCAATTTCTTTGGAACTCTCTGAGCTTCCTGGATTTCCTGGAAATCTATTTCCTTTGCCAGAATGGGAAAGTTCTCCTTTAGTATTTGTTCAAATAACTTTTCCACTTGTTGCTCTTCCTCTTCTCCTTCTGGTACCTGTGTAATTCAGATGTTGGAATGTTTAGATGTCCTGGAAGTTCCTAAGTCTCTCCTCATTTTTTTGAATTCTTGTTTCTTCATTCTGTTCTGGTTGAATGTTTCTTCCTTCTGGTCCACACCGTTGATTTGAGTCCTGGTTTCCTTCCTGTCGCTGTTGGTTCCCTGTACATTTTCCTTTATTTCACTTAGAATATCCTTCATTTTTTCCTCTAATTTGTTACCATATTCAACCTAATCTGTGAGCATCCTGATTACCAGTGTTTTGAACTGTACATCTGATAAGTTGGCTTTCTTCATTGCTTAGTTGTATTTTTTTTCTGGAGCTTTGATCTGTTCTTTCTTTTGGGCCTTTTTTTTGGTCCCATTGGGCCAACTATATAGTAAGGGGAAGAGCCTTAGGTGTTCACCAGGGCAGGGTAACCTACTTGGCTCCATTGTGATGCCGTATGTGGGGAAGGGGTTTGAGATGAAACAATGGCACTCTGATGGTTTTCAGTCACTTCCCCTGCTACCCACAATCAAATTGTTCCCTTCTGGTGCTGATTCCAATTTGGGTGGGTTTGTGTACATTCTAGAACCCTGTGGGTCTCTCCAACGAACTCTCCTGTGAGGCTGGGGGTTTCTCCTGTTGCTGCCTCAACCCTCTCAGGTATTTTCGATCAAAGGTTTGAGGCTTTATTTCCCTGCACTGGAGCCCTGAGTTGAACAATCTATCTCACTCCCCAGTTGTTTCTCCCAGTTTATCTGCACTTGAATGTGGGACCTCCCAGTCCGCAATTCACCACCTCACAGGATCTGTCAGCTGCTACCTTGCCTGCCCCAGTCCTCCAGCTGCTGCCTCACCTCTCTGCTGCAATTCATCTCTGCCCACCTGCCTTTCTCTGCCTCTCCTACCGGTTCAGATGACTGTTTCTTCTTTAACTCCTTTGTTGTCAGACTTCCATACAGTTTGATTTTCTGTCAATTCTGGTTGTTGTTTGTTTTTAAATTTCTTGTTGTCCTTCCTTTGATTGTGCAAGGAGGCACAGTGTGTCTACCTATGCCTCCATCCTGGCCAGAAGTGAAAGAGAGAATCTTAAAAGGAGCAAGAGGAAAGGAGACAGTTACCTACAAAGGAGTTCCCATAAGGCTATCAGGAGATTTCTCAAAAGAAAAAAAGGCACCTTACAAGCAAGAAGGGGCTGGAAGGAAGTATTCAAAGTCATGAAAGGCAAGAACATACATCCAAGATTGCTCTATCCAGCAAAGCTATCATTTAGAATGGAAGGGCAGATAAAGTGTTTCCCAGATAAGGTCAAGTTAAAGGAGTTCACCATCATCAAGCTCTTATTATATGAAATGTTAAAGGGACTTATCTAAGAAATAGAAGATCAAAAACTATGAATTGTAAAATGACAACACACTCACAACTATCAATAACTGGACCTAAAAAACTAAAACTAAGCAAACAACTAGAACAGGAACAGAATTACAGAAATGGAGATCATATGGAGGGGTATCAGCAGGGAGAGGGAGGGGGAGAGAGAGGGAAAAGGTACAGAGAATAAGAAGCATAAATGGTAGGTGCAAAATAGTTAGTGGGAGGTTAAGAACAGTATAGAAAATGGAGAAGCCAAAGTACTTATATGTATGGCCCATGGACATGAACTAATGGGGAGATGTGTATTTCTGGTAGGAGGGGGTGAAGGGTGATGAGGAATAAGGGGGAGAAAAAAATAGGACAACTGTAGTAACATAATCAATAAAATATATTTAAAAATGTGAAAGTCATGTTAATTATGGTCACTGACAATAATAAAAGTTATAATTTAATAAGTGCCTAATATATCACATGTATAACCTGATGTTCTCATTAATTCTTCTAATAACACAATCAGGTATTATTACTTTTCTCTTTAGAGATTAGAAAACAGCCTCAAAATGTTAAGAATCTCATAGCTAAAAAACAGTTTAATCTCAAACCTGCACTTTCTCCACTGTGCTTGCTACCACCTGGTTATTTTGCCTTGATTGAAATGTGATGAATTTTTCCTAGTGACTAAACATAGGGATTTTTTTTAAATATAAAAACTTTGACTCAAAATCCTGAGCAAGATAAATAATCCTCAAAATGCTAATCTTGTTAAACAAAACAAAATGCTTAAAATTCATTTTTTATTTTGAAAATCTTTTTTTTAGATTTATAAAGTACTTTAGAGTGTATGGTAAAAATTCAACTGATGCATTCAGTTAAAAATGAGACTTAATTATTTAAAATATTTTTCCACTTTGAGCAATTAGTGATTCCAGAAAGAGATTATTTGATCTTTTTTATTTTTCTCATTTATCAGCTAAGACTGAATATTAAGCCTTTTGCTCTCCCCTTTCCTCCCTTCCTTGAACTGTGCAAGGGAAGTTCAGTTTTAAAAAGGAATTTTCCAAAATAGGCACTGACTGAGTTACCACATATAATCATGACTTGGGTAGTTTAAATGATAACATTTAAATATTATATTTGGAATACTAACTTTGGTAACTTAAGTGTCCAAAATAATTCATTAGAACAACCTTTAAAATGCATGCTACCATTATTCAGAAAAAAATCTATCACTCATTCTATAAATGATGTGATATAAAAATATTTTCTTTGAAATAACAAGGAAATTTTGATTTATACTTCATGATCATCTTTTTATTTATATGAAAGAGCACCTTATTGATGCTAAGGAATTTGAAAAATGACCAAAGGTTTAAACCCTTCCAAACATTTTCACCCCTAAGGAAACCTATTTTCAGAATAGATATAATCCCAATTAGAATGTGGTTTCATTCCTCATAGTGTTAACAAGATACTTTAAGTGCTGCCAGTGTTATAAATAGCATCTCCTATAATGTTTTGTCTATTACTTCTTACTCACAGACAGTTGAATTTTAAAATTACATGCATTCATTGTTGGATAAAGATTTTTTTAAAGAACTGCCCAGCTCTAGCCAAGTTTCTCAGTTGGTTGGAACATTGTCCCAATGTGTCATGGTTGCGAGTTCTGTCCCTGGCCAGAGCTCATATGAAAATCAACCAATGCATTCATGGATGAGTGGAATAACAAGTCAGTGTTTCTCTCCCTCTTTCTCTCTCTCTCAAAAAAAATCAATTAAAGAAAATACACTGGTCCTAATTACTTACAAGTTGGTGTTGAGCAATCTCTGGTATTGTGATAAAGTCAATGGAAATGTTTGTTACATTCAAGTGAAAATGTGACTGGCCCTATTGGAGAGAAAAAGAATGCTTATCATAAACATTATCATGTTTTCCCACTAATTTGCTATAACCATATGGGTGGGGGTAATATAACTGTAGTTTACATCCTTTCCTTCTATGCTTTCAAAAGAATTTGCATAAGAGCTTTTCTCCTCCCCTAGCCTTGGTGGGGGTAGTGAGTTGTAATCTGTGAAAAAAATATATATGTATAAATTCTTCCTACATTGTAAACACATTACACAATGAAACCTTCAGTTTCAGGATAGGTTTTAGGAATAATTAAGATGGAAAAGCTCTAGACTGAAAAAAATCTGTAGAGAGAAAATCAAGTGGATGTGAAGAATAAAAAGTAAATGCCCTTTTTGTCTACTTTCTGTTCTCCAGATCCTTATTTCATTGGAATTGTGTTTTGGTGCAGGGACATTTCTAATTATAGTAATCTCTAACAATTTTAAACTAACTTTTTCTAAATGTATTGCTTCCCAAATGAGGCAAAAAAAATTACTTGCATAGCAAGATTTTTCCACTATATTTTTTAAAGGTATGGAAGAAAATTTATTTAGCTTTGTGAGACTTTACTTTCACAATAATATGTACTCTTGGCACAGGAAGCACTTTTTAAAGTTTCATAAATTGCTTTAACAATGTAAAAATTTAGGTTGATTTCATGAAGCTTTCACACATTGGTTACCAGGACTTGCATACATTATTACAATCAAAACAGTAAAATAAACCAAAAAACAACACTTTCCTAACACCTCTTAACACATAAAAAATTGCCATTTTTTGTCAAACATTTATACCTATGCCATATTCATTTTGACCTCGATTTTATACTTCTTTTTTCTAAAAATAGCTGACAAATAATCCTTTGTGTTAACTACCCAGTCTTATTACCAGAAACTCACTGGTTTTACTTTTACTACATTTTAATCATTCAGAGCAGGATGTGCTTATTGAACCAGTTATACTCCAGTAACTTTGTAAATGAAAAAAAGCTTTAAGAGAATTAAGAATAAATAATAGAGCAATTATTTCACTGATCCTCATCCAATTTCAGGAAAATCACTTCCAAAAAGCAGCAATTCTGCCTGATAAATTCATGTTTAAACATAAACTGAAAGAAAAGTGAAATTATGGGAAACCTATGATGATTTAACTAGATACCATGTGCTTTAATAGTTCAACACTGGTCATACCTGATAATCAAGAGTAAATTGATAGGCTAACATTTTAAAATGTATATTTTAATAAGTATAAAATATAGTTTTTTTGTTTACAGAATATTTATTAAGGTTGTTTAGTGTACAATTTCTTATTTGTCCTGCTGGAAGTCCTTTACTGTAAAGACTATCCTTTTGTCTGGTGACAAACAGCAGCCAGCGTCAGTGATTATTCTGGGCCTCCATATTTAATAAATTAAATTTCTTCTTGAGACATAGGTTTCCTCCTACATTTCTGAGGTAATGTGTTTATTATTTCTGCAGTGTCTGGTGGATTCTGATGCATCAGCCAATCTGATGATTTATTTCCCTTAAAATGCTGTGAAATTGAAGAAGAGTTAGAGGGCAGTCCTGCTGATCTCAAAACTTCTGATACATTCGGTTTAGAATGGTCTCTTCTGTTAGGGAACCTTATTAATAGAGTATGTGGCTTGACTACCTCAAAGACCCTGCTAGCAGAGGCCATCTTACTGTCCATCATGGCCCCTGAGAAGGGGCAGCTCCAATATATTTATTTTTTAAAAAGCTCAGATTTATTGAGCAATGATTGACAAACTATATTTCAAAATACCTTAGTATGAATGTTATTAAAATGAGCAATTACTACCTGATTGTTGGGGACTGCTCTGACTGGTTTCAGGAATTCTAACTACCCCCCATGGCTAAGGATCAGTGAGCGACCCCCAGAATGCAAGCCACAAAAGACAAAGCCTGTCTCTGGTAGCAAATGCTGCTTCAGTTTCCTCTCTGCCCCCAAAGCATGGTTGGAAGTCAGAGACAGGTAAGACCTCTCAGAGGAGGGGCAACCAAAGCCAGACTCGATCACTTGGGAGGCCATCATGGAAGGACTCAGGGGGCTGCTACAAAGAGCAAGCAATGAACCCTCCCCCCCTTATGTGACATAGCCCGAGTCCCCAAGTCCTCTGGGAGAAGCACTTCCTGGCTCTAATCCACTTAAGCCTGAATACCTGATGGGGAGGATGTGCAACTCCTTGCCTTGCTAGAGTGGATTCAGGGAAAAATCTGGCATCACAAAGACTTCCTAAAAAACCTGTGAAACCTGCTCTGCTAAGAGTGTTTTCATTCATATGTTAAGGGTCCGAGCAGGAAACCCTAAAGTTTCTGCAAAACCCCCTTCCTGACAGACTCTGACTCATACTAAGCCCTCATATTTCTTTGAAATGTTGTCTATTGTTTGATCCTTGCCACCCTGTATTCCTTTGTATTACAACCCAATAAAAGCCCCTGGAGGAAGGGGCTTCAGGTCTTTTTCCTCTGAGAAACTGGCCATCATTCAAGGCCTTTGTTTCCTTGGAGAAACTGGCCACCTCTCCTCAGCAAGCAGATCATGTCTTGGTAGTATTTACTTTAATTCGTGGAGGATGGGGGTACTTGCAGAAAAAGTCGCCCCCATACCTGATTATCATATATTAAACATTTTACCAAAATAATTAAAAATATTTAATTACATATTAAAATAGAATAAGCATTCCCGGGAAAGATTTTTCCTAAGAATGAAATATAAGTAGGTTTAGAAGATTAAAGAGATAAAGGTCACAAACAGTAGTACAACTGAGCCAAATCTAATTCATCAAAAGAGAAGAAAAGCAGGTTTACCACTCAACATCCACATAACCTAGCCTATGTGTTTATGATTCTTTTCTTTCTTCTGAAGTATTTTTTTATTTTCACTGTGATCTATGAAGAATTTTTCAAGGAGTGACTATATTAACACCTCATCAATTAATGAGTGCTAATGAGCTAATATTTAAAATAGTAATAATTTATTCTTTTTACTTAAAATTCAAACTATAAATCCTGCCCTTTACAAACCACACTTTACTTTTAAATTGATTATGTAACATAGGAGATAGTCACAGAAAAGTTATACAAAGGGACAATATTCCAAACCTAACACTTAGCCATTTTTCTCTTCATAGGAACAGGCAAGTCTTCTGGGAACAAAAAATCTCCTTTAAGTACAACCAAGCTTTGAAGCAGTCATGGTGAGATTCACCTTCACAGATTCGCCATTGCTCTGACTCCAGCAAGCAAGAAGCCAACCCACCTGCTTGCCTCCAAGACTGAAATCCCCATCAGGTACTTTACACACCTTCTCTGTTACACACCTTTTCATCTCAAGAAGAATCCCCACCATGGCTCCTCTTCATGGCGCAGACACCTGAAACTCAGAGGTGTACCTTGTCAGGACCCACAGCTCTGTGATCCATGTGAGCCCAGGTCCAGTACTTTTTGTCCCATAGCACGCTGCCCCACCAATGGCCAATTCAATACTGCCAATAAAGTTTTTACAAATTCACCAGCTGGAAATATGGGCCTTTCAGAGCTTAAGATTTTTAGTATATTGTTTTCTTATTCTCTCTCAAGTAACTACCACTTAATAAAGATAAGACATTTTTAACAGTTTGCTCATATTTCTTTTATATCCACAGAGAATACATACTCTGCCAAGAGTAAAGTAGACATGAAGCATGATAAGTGAATAATGTTATGCATCCTGTAGAATTTAAGCAAAGCTAAAGATTCATACATTACATTTTTTAAAATATTAACAAAAATGCAAAAAGTTCATAGTGGGCATACTATTCAGGAACAACAGTTAAATTTCAGATGAATAACTTGTCATTTTACTAAATTTATCTCAATATTTATTTTTCCATTGAACAACAGTATGCCTTTTATTGTAATCCCTCTTGTTAAAGGTCTAGAAACCTTGAGTCACCCTCAGTGGCCACTTCCCACAGTTTTGCTCTTCTCTGGCCACCTTTCCCTCATTTTCTTGTTACACTGACCTAGTTGTTTTTTTTTCTACTATCTCCAAATACTGAGGTAAAGTTGGGTTCGTGCAGTGGCCAAAATATTTCCCAAAGCAGATTCCTTCAAAACTACTTCTATGGGATGCAAAAGAATGAAAAAGAAGTAAAGAAGGGAGAAAGGAAGGGAAGGAAGAGAGAGGGAAGGTGGGAAGAAAAGTTTGACTAACATTGGTTTACTTGAAGTTTCTTGTACCATAGGTCTTCATATACAATGCTTGTCTAACAAGGGGCTCAATAACCATGTTCCCAACAGTGATAAACCAAGGAAATCTTTTCTACAAATTATCTTTCCAAATCCACTGGAAAAGTAGGTATAGAGCTATGTCTGCATATGAGGATGAGAGACTGTCAGTGAGCTACTAAAAAACAGAGGTGTGGCCAGAGTTATGGAGGGCAGTCAGGAAATGTCTTTATTTCAAAGAAACCTTCCAGGAGATTTTGATATTTCTTCGCTCCTCCCCCATTCATCCCCAATTAAAAATCTGTGGTGGTCTCCAAAGATCAGTGTACACGAGAATCCTCCAAGATCATGATGCATGTGAATGACCTACACTCAGAGATTTAGGATATTCACAGTGCATGACAACAATTACATTTGAAACTTGCATCCTGATTGATTCTGAGGCACATGGCCACAGGAGCCCCATTTTATAAACCTCTGTTCTAGAAGGTACTAAGAATAGCAAATGTATTTTCTGAACTTTGTTATAAATACTAAGAAATTAGCTCATGACTCAATGACATGGATTAAATGATAAAATGATAGGTCCAAGTTGGCTTTGGGGGCAAACAAAAACTCAAATTGTTTTACTTTTAAAGTTAAATTTTTTTTAATTCAAATTTTCAAAATTTCAATTCTAAAGAAAAAATTCTTGCTTAAAGTGATCTTTCTACAGTATCTTTGGTGGGCTACAGGTATTAAAAACTGAATAATTCTCAGTCATTAGCCTAAAGAGACTTACATTCAGACAAATATAATATCAAATGTATACAAATCATAACATGAGAAGTACGCAGTGAGAAGAACGCTGTGTAAGGGACCCCCATTGTTGAAGGATTTAAATAGAAGCTACACCAACCTCCTCCCAGGACCAAATTGTAATTACATCTAAATTTTAAAAAAATCATCCTGAATAACCAACTGAACACTAGATGGAGAGAAGCCTTATAACCACAGAGAGCTGGAAGAAATCACTTCATCACAACAGACTGGGAAGGAGTGCAGAGGAGGCAGAGAGGGCTGGCTGGGCACCCACTGGAAGCAGCTAAAGTTCCAGAGGGATATTTCGGCAGCCAGGGGAGTTCCCCTGAGAAGTGTGGGCTCTAAACCTCAAGCAAGGCTCCCCGGCCTACAGCATCAGAACTAGGAAAGGCACCCAAATGATATATAGCTGTGAAAAGCAGCAAAGTTTCCATCTACCAGGGGGAGACAGCTGGAGACACAGAGAGTCTCATAAATGGCTAATGCACAAAATTCTGTTTGCAGGCACTTACCCTGGGCTCCAGCAGCGTGGACTAAAGATGTGAGGAGAGTCCAGGGCTGGTGGCTTGGGAAGAAAACTAAACAGTTAGCTACCAGGATCCCAGTCCTAAGTCATTCCCCATACTTCAGGAGCCATATTTCTTGGACAGGACTCACCTCCAAGTGGCAACAGCCTGAGGAGAGGCAACAGCCCCGCACACAAGAATCACTCTCACCCTACCCTATGGTAATTAAACCCTGTTCCTGAGGAGTAGAGCTTGTGAGACTTTCACTCTTTAAGCCTAACAGAAAGCCTGCAGACAGGCAGATTTCTGGGAGCTCTGAGACATTAGCTGCCCCTCCCCTGGGCCCAGTGCTGGTAAAAGCCAGCCACAGTGTGCAGTCTGGTTCTTTCTGCACGGAAAGAGGTTCAGCAGAGGAAACCACATTCTGTGGATCACTGATAGCTCCAAATAGGTTGCCCTGGGCCAGTCGCAGACATGGTTTGACACAGGCCTAAACCAGAGTCTTTGCAGATCTACCTAATACATAGAAACAAACACAAAGAGGCAGCCAAAATTGGAAGGCAATGAAACAGGCTCCAAATGAAGAACAAGAGAATTTTCCAGAAGAATAAGTAGGTGAAATGGAGACAAGCAATCTATCAGATGAAGAGTGTAGAGTATAATTATAGAGATACTCCACAGCATGAAGAAAGACATAGAAACCATGAAAAAGGACCAGTCATAAATAAAGAATGCAATATCTGAAATAAATAATATACTGAAAGGGATAAACAGTAGGTTACATGAAGCAGAGAATCAAATTAGTGATTTGGAAGACAAGGTAGAAGAAAACACCCAAGCATAGCAGCAAAAAGAAAAAAGAATTTTTAAAAAATGAGGAGAGCTTAAGAAAACTTTGGGACAAAATGAAGCATAAAAAGATCCACATGATGGGAATACCAGAATGAAAAGAGAGTGAGCAAGAGATTGAGAACCTATTTAAAGAAATAATGACCAAAAGCTTCCTTAATCTGGTGAAGGAAAATGACACACAAGTCCAGGAAGCTCCGAGAGTCCCAAATAAGTTGGACCCAAAGAAGTCTACACTAAGACACATATTAATTAAAATAGCAAGACTGAAAGACAAGGAGAGAATCCTAAAAGCTTCAAGAGAAAA